TAGTCTCGATCTCCTGACCTCGTGATCCACCCGCCTCGGCCTCCCAAAGTGCTGGGATTACAGGCTTGAGCCACCGCGCCCGGCCGGTTTACTGAATATTTTAAGCCCAGTGTTGAGACCTACTGCTCAGAAAAAAAAAAAAATTCCTCTCAAAATATTATTGCTCATTGATACTGTGCCTAGGCACCTAAGAGCACGGACGGAAATGTACAGAAAGATGAATGCTGTTTTCATATATGCTACCACAATATCCTCTGGGTAAGTTATATGCTACTCACAAGTTAGTTGTATTTCTCTTAGCTGTACTATCATAATAACGAGTGATTTAATCAGACATTCAGTAAACTGTTGAAAACCTAGTGCAAAAAGAAGTTGCTTTTATAAAAACTAAGTTAGGCTGGGCATGGTGGCTCACACCTGTAATCTCAACACTTTGAGATGTTGAGACAGGTGGATCACTTGAGGCCAGGAGTACAAGACCAGCCTGGTCAACATGGTGAAATCCCATCTCTACTAAAAACACAAAAATCAGCTGGGCGTGGTGGCGCACACCTGTAATCCCAGGTACTCAGGAGGCTGAGAAGCAGGAGAATTACTTGAACCCAGGAGATGGAGGATGGAGGTTGCAGTGAGCCGAGAATTGTGTCACTGCACTCCAGCCTGGGTGACAGAGCAAGACTCTGTCTCAAAGAAAAAAAAAACTAAGTTAAATGTTCGGAAAGTCAGTCTCTCAAACCAATTTCTGATAAATTAGGCGTAAGGCAATTGTAAAAAGAGAAAAAACTGAAGCTATCTAAAAGATTTTTGTACTAAACTGTCTGAAGTAGCTTAAAGTTTTTATACCACTTTAGGTAAACACAAATTTGAAACTATAGGCAATAAATTAAGGGTATGGGTTTGTATGAGAGACAGGAAGTAAACTTGTACTCAATAACAAAACAAAACAAAGGACTTGGTCTTAAGACTGGCAAATTTATAGTACATTTAAATATTTCAAATTAAAATAAAATATTTAAGGTCTATCAACTGTGTTTTATGATTCCTCACCTTAAAAACCTTAAATTTTTTTTTTTTTTTAGAGATGGAGTCTTGCTGTGTTGCCCAGGCTGGAGTGCAGTGGCACGATCTTGGCTCACTGCAAGCTCCACCTCCTGGGTTCACGCCATTCTCCTGCATCAGCCTTCCGAGTAGCTGGGACTACAGGCGCTGCCACCACGCCCAGTTAATTTTTTGTATTTTTAGTAGAGACAGGGTTTCACCATGTTAGCCTGGATGGTCTCTATCTCCTGACCTCGTGATCCACCTGCCTCGGCCTCCCAAAGTGCTGGGATTACAGGCGTGAGCTGCCGCGCCCGGCCAAAAAAAATTTTTTTTAGAGACAAGGTCTCATTCTGTTGCCTGGGTTGGAGTGCAGTGGTGTGATCATAGCTCACTGCAACCTCAAACTGCTGGGATCCTCCTGCCTCAGCTTCCTGAGTAGCTGGGACCACAGGCGCATGTCACCACACCCAGCTAATGTTTTTTATTTTCTTATTTTTTGTAAAGACAGAGTCTTGCTTGATCCCCCTGCCTTGAATTCACAAGGAGTTGGGATTACAAGTGTGAGCCACTGTGCCCTGCCTTAAACAACTTTTTGACTAAACATTACTAGCTACTGGTGCTGACTACATCAAATAAGAGCATATCTACTGTACTTTTATAATCACAAAAAAAAAATTACTAAAATAAAAAGAATTATTAGTTGGGGGTTTGCTACATTCCTTCCATTCTACTGACTTACCTCGTAAAGCATGAGTCGAACATCAGCTTGCTGGCTTAAGCATCTCCTCAAACTATCCATGATCTCAAGGCAAAAAGTTTCATTGGCAACAGAATTGTAATGACTGTGAACATCCACATGAACCTGAAAGGAAGACAGGCCAATTCATGTCTATCTTACCAAAGCAGTTTCCAATAAGGAGCTAAATAAGCCTATGTTCTTGGTCAAAAAAACTTAGCTTTCTCCACATCCCAAACCCCAGGGGTGAGACATACAGTATAATCATTACCATGCAGTAATAAGTGTCATTCTTATTCTGGTTTGGAATAAGAGAATTTTTAAGCATTTTAATAAAACTAACTGTTCCCATTCCTTAAGGTTTCCTTGACAATATCAATTGCTTAGGAAGGCACACTGCTTATTTCAAGCCACTAGAATCCAGTAGTAATAATATACATAATTTTATTTAAAAGCTCTAAGACTTCTTCAATAGCTAGAAGAATCTCACTCTTCCACAAATTCTAGAAAGGTTTAGAGGAAGACAGTTTTTTGTTTAGAAATGGACGTGACAAAGAATTGACATCCTTTGTGTAAATTATACAATAAAATCAGCAATTATACACCAAGAATTCCTAATCCTTACTCCAGGTATCACAGTAATGTAGTTCATACTGCCTGAAGCCAAATCCTTCTTCCACCCTTTCTTGGTTATATAACCTTGGGTGAGTTATTTAACCTGGCTCAGCCTCAGTTCACCTATCCTTAAAACAGGGATAATAACACACAAATGATAACTAGTGTTCCTAATATTTAATCTATGCTATAAGTTATAGACAAAGCTTTATATAGTTATACCAAAGCAATAAAGTGAGGATTCCTAGTCAAACTGTTATATATAAATATGTCTCCTATTTATAAATCTTATAGTACATCATTTAAATTATGAAGACAATTTTATTGCTCCAAAGCCTAGATTACCAGATTATAAAAAGTTTTGTTTTCTCAGATTACAAGGTGTAATATATATACATGTGCAAAGTAAATAAATTGACATAAGAAAATAGGGATAATAATAGTATCTAGCCTCAGAGGACTGCTTTGAAGATTAAATGAGATAATAAATGTAAAGCACTTTAGCACAATATCTAGCACAGTGCTATCCAAAATAAATATAATATGGGCCGGGTGCAGTGGCTCACGCCTGTAATACTAGCACTCTGGGAGGCTGAGGTGGGCAGATCACAAGTTCAGGAGATTGAGACCATCCTGGCTAACACAGTAAAACCCTGTCTCTACTAAAAATACAAAAAATTAGCTGGGTGTGGTGGTGAGCACCTGTAGTCCCAGCTACTTGGGAGGCTGCGGTAGGAGAATGGCATGAACCTGGGAGGCGGAGCTTGCAATAAGCCGAGATTGTGCCACAGCACTCCAGCCTGGGCAATAGAGCAAGACTCCGTCTCCAAAAAAAAAAAAAAGAAAGAAATATAATATGAACCACAAATGCAAGCCATATATGTAATTTTATATTTTCCAGTAGCCACGTTAAAAAAGAGAAAGAGGTAAAGTCAATTTTAATATTTTCTGTAACCCTACACATACAAAATTCTCTCTGAAGATGTAATCAATATTAAACATTATTAGATTTTTACATTCTTTTATTTCAAAATCTGGTATGAAGGCTGGGCGCGGTGGCTCAAGCCTGTAATCCCAGCACTTTGGGAGGCTGAGACGGGCGGATCGCGAGGTCAGGAGATTGAGACCATCCTGGCTAACGCGGTGAAACCCCGTCTCTACTAAAAAAATACAAAAAAACTAGCCGGGCGTGGCGGCGGGCGCCTGTAGCCCCACCTACTCTGGAGGCTGACGCAGGAGAATGGCATAAACCCGGAAGGCAGAACTTGCAGTGAGCCAAGATCTGGCCACTGCACTCCAGCCTGGGTGACACAGCGAGACTCCGTCTTAAAAAAAAAAAAAAAAAAAAAAAAAAATCTGGTATGAATTTTGCACGTACAGCACAACACAATGTGGACTAGTCACATTTCAATCAAATGTTCCATTTAGTAGCCACACTGAGGATAGTGGCTACCATACTGGATAGCACAGTTTAGCATACAGTAAATCTGCCATTAATAAGTGTTAGCCAATATCATCATCATTATCATCACCATCATCATCATCATCATCATCATCAGACTCTTTAGTTCTAGGATCATTCTTATAACCATAACAGGAATAAAAGAAAACAGCATGCATTTCATCAATGCACATGAATGATATGCACACACTGCAAGTTAACATAAATAATCCTTACCTGACTGAAACTAAGAGACTGACTGCACTGAGAGGATGACAGGCTGCCTAAAACTTTGAAGTTCTTTAGGAGCAGCAAAAATCCAGCAACTGCAGATTTTCGGGCATCAAGCTGGCTAGCTCAGAAATAGAGAAGTTAACAAACCTGTTTCACAAGAATATGCTTCTGGGTCAGAAAAATACAGCCAGTTGCATACAGAGAAGGCATATGTATAAACAATGAAGCGTAGAGCAAAACAAAGTGAATTTATGTACTCAAAATAAAGTATCAGCTGTTCAAAGCAATTTATAGTACAGAAATTGAACTGACATTTTTCATTACTTAACTCATGATACTCTACTTTCTTCTATCCTGCTTTCAAGTCTATGTGAGGAATAAGAATAAGAGTGCCGAGAGACTGCAAAATTGGCTGGTTACTCAAATGTAGGAAATCGCTGATTTTAAGCCCCAGTACTCAGCAGGAGAAACAGAATGGAGAACCTCACGAGGACATACTTTCCTCCCCTCCAGATGGCTAGACACCGAAGAAGGAAAAATACTTTTGCCTGCAGCTAACCAATAGAAATTACTTAAAACCATTCACCAAACCTTCCACTTAGGCATTGATAGCACCCATCAGATGGCCAAATTATTATTTACACTGGACCAAGCCTTTTCAAAACTATCAAGCAGATAGTCAGGGCCTGTGAAGTGTGCCAAAGAAATAATCCCCTGCACTGCAGGCCATACATTTGAATCCCTATACCTTTAACCTCCTTGTTAAGTTTGTCTCTTCCAGAATCGAAACTGTAAAACTACAAATGGTTCTTCAAATGGAGCCCCAGATGCAGTCCATGACTAAGATCTACCGCGGACCCCTGGACCAGTCTGTTAGCCCATGCTCTGATGTTAATGACATTGAAGGCACCCTTCCCGAGGAAATCTCAACTGCACAACCCCTACTAGGCCCCAATTCAGCAGGAAGCAGTTAGAGCGGTCATCGGCCAACCTCCCCAACAGCACTTGGGTCTTCCTGTTGAGAGGACGGACTGAGACAGAACTAGCTGGATTTCCTAGGCCGACTAAGAATCCCTAAGCCTAGCTGGGAAGGTGACCGCTTCCACCTTTAAATATGGGGCTTGCACCTTAGCTCACACCTGACCAATCGGATAGTAAAGAGAGCTCACGAAAATGCTAATTAGGCAAAAACAGGAGGTAAAGAAATAGCCAATCATCTATTGCCTGAGAGCACAGCAGGAGGAACAAGGATTGGGATATAAACCCAGGCATTCAAGCCAGCAGCAGCAACCCCCTTTGGGTCCCCTCCCTTTGTATGGGAGCTCTGTTTCCACTCTATTTCACACTATTAAATCTTGCAACTCCAAAAAAAAAAAAAAAAGAAAAGAAAAGAAATTGCTGATTTTGCCATGTTTGAAGGAGTGCTTTCCTTCATATGCTCTCTTTCATCACAGGATAATGTAGTACTTGATGCCATGTAAACTCTCCATCCAGAAAATGTCACACTCATCTTCTCACTGAGGCTCAATGACTAATACATGTTAAAGATGTTACAACATAATATCTCAGTCTATTCGCCATGCCTTTGGGTGAGGAGTAACAAAAACTGTTAATTCTAGAACAAAGATAATAGCATATGGCTTAGTTGTTCCTGTGGACACCCATGAATATATTTTAATATGGCCAATGTGATATTAATTGGGTATCTTATCCTCAAAGTACCAAATGCTTTTCACATATTACTGTCTTATATTTTTAGGAGATGGTATGATCATCTCTAGCTTATATACTAAGAAATAAAGGAAGAGATGTTAGGAGGGATTGGCTAAGCTACAAATAAAACTCATTCCCCTCAACAATTAATTTGATCTTCTAGCCTCTAGATCATAATTCAGATGTTCACTAAAATGAGATTCTTAAGTATCTTCTTCTTGACTAAGTTCCAAAGCAGTCCCCTTTGGTACTGCTACCAGCTCAGGTTTCAGAGTATTTGGGACTAGAACATTATCCTGAAGATTATTCTAATGTAGCAGAGTAAAGTACTTGACATCACAAGCTCTGATATTAGAACTGACTTTGAATCCTTGCTCCACCACCAGCTATTGTTTTAGGTTTGGAAAGTTACTCATCTTCTCTAAGCCTAAGTTTTCTTATCTGTAAAATGGGAATTGCAATAATTCTTACTTCATAGGGTTGCTCTGAAGACTAAATGAAAAAAGCACACAAAGGACTTAGCAAAATGCCTTATTTGATGAAATTGCTCTGCGGGGCTGGGAATTCGCATGATCACTGTGAACAGGTGGTACTAGGAGATGGCAAAGATAACTTTAGCCCCAACATTAGAGGGCGACATCTTCCTATGATATAAAAAGATGCTACCTACTTGGCAAACATAGCTTTCCGAAGAACAAGTATCAAGGAGTCTCTCATTGACATGCTGACTTTGAGAAGAGGCTGAAAAAGAATCAGTGGGTAAAAACAGAACAAGTTTGCTTATTAGCCTTAGCTCATTTCCAATACTGTTACCATATGGCTTCTATAAGGAAGCTTACTTCTGTTTTATATATGCTTTAATGTTTATTACAGTTAACAAGGACAATAGTATACTTTGTAACACTACAATGAAACTGGTTGTGAATGCCTTTGTAAATCTATTGTACTCAATAATGTTCTAAGAGAGTTTTAATTATTTCATTAACTTGAAAATGAGTTAACAGAATAGTGCTATGGATAGTAAATAAACCTGGAAAACAGTCTTGCTCAATGCTCTTGCCCTTTCCATGCAAATTTTATGTTTCAGACTAAAGTGGAATAGATTTCTTAGACATATATATTTATACAGAAATGCATCAGACTCCCACTAGACAGTTAAACCTCAGTTTCGGCAAGTTACTTGGGAATCTGAAGACTTACCTGCACTGCCTTAAGTAGCCTTTGTACAGTCTGAAGGGGCAGAAAGGACAAATAGTCAAAAGCTTCTGTGACTTTAGAAGAACAACTTTGAAGAACTAAGGGTGCATACATGACAATATTTGAAAGCAGGTCTGAAAAACAGAATCTATAATCAGTTGCCTCAAATAACTACAGATGTTTGAAATAAAAGAAAAATAAGGAGAAAGAAATGTAAGTCTTTTGCTTCCTTTCTCAAATAAGTCAAGTATACTGCAATGCAAATTTCTACTGATTCTATATATACTTTTTCTCCAATGTAACCAGGATAATTTTAGCTTTTTTCTGTGATAGTTTCAATTTCTCTAAAAATTAAACTGCCTAAAAGAAAGGAAGAAACCGATTACACTCCTAGACATAAGTAGTAGCACACATCTTTCTACGTCTAAGCTAAAATAAATCAATAAATATTTCTGAATTTTTAGTATGTGCAAACATAATATGGTCCTATTAGGAACATAAAAGTATAAAACATAGTCTTTCTTCAAAAATTTTAATAATTTAGTTGGAAGTAAAAAAAAATTTTTTTTAAGAATTAAAGAGGTAAATCACAGAGCAATATCAAATATCTAATAATTCCAAACATAGTTTATTGCCTACTAAATGGTAAAAGGAGAGTTTAAATAGGAGTTCAAAGGAAGAAGAGATCATTATGAGTTGGCATATATTAGGAAAGCAATGAGAAGGAACTTAAACTAGGTTCTAAAAGATGGGGAACATTTAAATGCACAAAGAACCAGAAAGACCTACATATATAAAGGGAAAAGTATGGGTAAAGGTCTGAGAAAGGTAAGCATAAGACATATTCAGAAGATGGTAGGGAAATCAATGATGCTAGGGTGAAGAATCCAGGAAAGTAAATAACTGACTTTAACATTGGAAAGGTAGGTTGGGATCCACTTGTCAAGGACTTTCAGTGCCAGGATAAAGAGCTGACGATTTGGCCAGGTGCGGTGGCTCACACCTGTAATCCCAGCACTTTGGAAGGTCGAGGCAGGTGGATCATGAGGTCAAGAGATTGAGACCATCCTGGCCAACATGGTGAAACACCGTCTCTACTAAAAATACAAAAATTATCTGGGTGTGGTGGCGCGTGCCTGTAGTCCCAGCTACTTGCAAGGCTGAAGCAGGAGAATTGCTTGAACCTGGGAGGCCGAGGTTGCAGTGAGCTGAGATCATACCACTGCACTCCAGCCTGGGTGACAGAGTGAGACTCCATCTCAAAAAAACAAACAAACAAAAAGAGCTGACAATTTATTAAAGAACATATTGATGATTTTATAGTCATAAAGTGGTATTTTAGGAATACTAACCTGTGGTAATATGCAGGTTAAATTGCTGAAGGGAGAAGAAAAAGCCAGGAAACCAGTTAGAAAGCTGTGGTAGTAGTCTAAATTCAAGGTTGTAAGAATGGGAACTAGACAGTGGATGTGAGGTTGGGGGAAGGAGGGAATAAAAAGATAGAAAAAAATAACAGTATGAGGCAGAAAAATGACAGAACTTTGGTACCAAGTGTGTTTGAGAAAATAAAAGGTAATTCCAGCCTCCAGGACCTGGAGAGCCATGCTTCAAATAATGGAAATAGGAGCAATGGAAAGGAAAATTTGTTTGAAGGGAGCTGTATTATATTTGAGGTAAAAGAAAAACTGGTCACAGGCAGGAAAAGAAGCAAACTCTTACAGTAGTCAGAGAACTTACCTAAAAAAGTTTCAGGGGAGTTATAAACAGTGATGAATGACATAGAGAAATTTTTAAAATTGGTGATTAAGACCAGTCAATTTAGACATTAGGAGTTATGTATTAAAAACAGCAAATTCAGGCTGGGCATGGTGGCTCAAGCCTGTAATCCCAGCACTTTGGGAAGCTAAGGTGGGTGGATCACCTGAAGTCAGGAGTTCGAGACCAGCCTGGCCAGCATGGCGAAACCCTGCCTCTATTAATAGTACAAAAATTATCTGGGCGTGGTAGCGTGTGCCTATACCAGCTACTGAGGAGGCTGAGACACAAGAATTGCTTGAACCCAGGAGGCAGAGGTTGCAGTGAGCTGAGATTGTGCCACTGCACTCCAGCCTGGGCAACAGAGTGAAACTGTGTCTAAAAAAGAAAAAAACAAAAAAAACCCAGCAAATTCAGAGGTTACCAGAGACAAATGCTGTGCAGTCCAAATGTCAAGGCTAAAAGGACTAGGAAGTCAATGAGTGGCAGCAGAAGGACAGCATTCATTTGAGAGGTATTAATAATAACAGAAAATGTTGAGGCAAAATGGAAGTTTTACTTATTGGTTAATTGTTGCTTTCCTTACTGACAACTACAGCCTTTTTGACAATTGACAATCCCAGACAACATAAATGGATTTGCTTTATTGGCATCCTATCAAAGATACTGCATTTAAATGCTCATTAAATTTTTTTTCCCAGGACCAAATGATTATGACATTTAAATGAAAATATTTCTAAAAACTTTATTCATCCTTTCAAAGTTTAATACCTAAGAAATGACTGATGGGAGAAGATGCTCTGGTAACAACCCTGTTGAGGACCTGCTCCAGAATTTCTTGTCTGATCATCTCATGGATCTAAAAACAACAGCATAAATAAAATATTCCTGGGTGACCTTCAGCTTTTAAGTATATCAATGCATGTCAGGCAGGATGAAGAACAGTTTGGATATGGGTAAAACTCAAAAACTCAGAATATAATGTGAATCACCTGGAAAGACAGAATCACTCAACTTTCCCCTTGTTCTGTGCTTCGATGATTCATTAGTAGGGTAAATACCATGTTTATTAGCCTAAAAGTACAGATCACATAAAACTATTGCTAATATAAGGTTCAGCATCAAACAGGACAAATTCTACTTAGGTATCCATTACCTGACAATATCCATATTCCTGACAGTACACATAACTTTTATTCTAAAAATTAAAATGTAAAAGCCCATGAAAATTTCTAGAAACTTAAAAGATCTTCCCTAACCCCTGTCTCAGTTTCTAGAAGCACAGCAGTTGCTGTTAAAAAGACCCATTCTGAATTTTCACTTAAATTTTAGTTAAAATTTTTACTTGAACTTAATTACTTTATGGTACAGACTAATTTCATTCAGACCTCAGACTGTTAGTGACTTAGCAGCAATTTATAAAGATGACTTGATAAAGCTGACATCTATGTGAAATCAAATGGAGCCTCTTTAGTTTTGAAAAATAATAATTTAAATACAAAAACATACTCTAAGATAATGTCTTTAACAATATCACTGTAAAGCAGGGTAATTTATATTACATCATCAAATACACTTACAACTCTCAAGAACTATTCTGACATTTACTTCATAGTTCTGGATTAGAACACTAGATTTACATTTAGATCAGCCTCCCAAATAACATTTTCAGCAGACACTCTTGGTGTGTAGCTACATTAAACAACTGAACATTAAGAAGACTTAGAGGAATTACTAGCAAAGTTGTTTAACCTCAGATATGATCTAGCATTTTTTTATTCAAAACAAAATACATTTTTGAAAACTGTTTTGGAAATTAATATTGTCAGTGATAATTTGGTAATAATGTCAAAAAAATGTAAATTTCCCATTTTGGGTTCTTCAGAAACAATGAACCAATAAGTATGACTTTTTTTTTTTTTTTTTTCTGAGATAGGGTCTCACTTTGTTACCCAGGCTGGAGTGCAGTGGTGCAAACACAGCTCACCATAGCCTTGACTTCCTGGGCTCAAGTGATCCACCTCAGTCACCCAACTAGCAGGTGCACGCCACCATGCCTGGCTAATTTTTGTATCTTTTGTAGAGATATTGTTTCGCCACGTTGCCCAGGCTGGTCTCAAACTCCTGAGCTCAAGTGATCTGCCCACCTCAGCCTCCCAAAGTGCTGGGATCATAGGTTAAGTCATGCCCAACCAAGCATGATTCTTTTCTTGTTTTATTTTCAGTAAAAATTCTTAGAGCATAATTCTTTAAGCTTGATGCTCTACAGTGACCTAAAAAAATTTCTTCTGTGTAAAGGAACAGCATTAAAACAAAATAAAACAAAAACTAGAAAGGTTTACTGCTGGAAGAAGGAAAAGTCATGAAAAAGCTATCTTATATTCAAACTTCTAGGTCAGAAGCAATTGGGTTACGTGGAATAAATGAAAAACTTACATAAAAGAATAAGAAAGTTAAGTATTCCATCAAACTGGATCTATAATGTTTCAATATTATCCTAATCTCTGTCATATATCCTCTGTCAAACTAATACTCAAATTTCCTTGTCCAGCAAACTCCCAGGCAAATGCCAAGCCCTACTTGGATTATTTAAACAAAATTAGGGAGTGGTTGCCAAAATAGTGTCTCACCTTAAAAGTTTCCAACAGGATATTAGCTCCGAGCTTACATGCATGCTGGTTTGGCATTCTAGAAAGACTTGGGCTGGTTTCAATAGTTTTTCCATCAAGAACCTTCTTTGGCCCGTATGAATCCATCAAAATGAAACCAAGTTCAACGAGGCCCTGAGTAACATGGTCCCAACTATGAACGCTACAAGAAAACAAAGCTTAGTTAAAAAAGAAAAACGTAGTAAGATATCTTACCTTTATACTCAATGCCCTGTTACACATTTCCCAAACTTGACCTGGATAACCAACGTACTCTGCATATAAACCTTTTCTTTACACACATCATCTGACAGAATTCTGAATTCCTAAATGTACCATAATGGGAATAGCAGGCAAGTGGTCTCCAATGACAGACAGAGTACTGGGAAAATCCAGAAGCTAGAGAATATTCAAAAACATACAAAAGAAACTGGAATATTTCAATATGATGACAATTAAAGATTCCCATTCAAGATTTCATGATGAGAAGTTCATTGCTGCCTCTTCTATTACCCTACAGCACTGACAACGCTTATGTAGAGGCTTACAAATTAGCTCCTCTCCATAGACAGAGATTCTGTAAGAGAGAGGTCATAGTATAGTCATATTTTTACCCACATTGCTTAACACAAGGGTGGCATATAAAAGACACTCAGTAGATATTTATAGTATAAATGGATGAATGATCTGGTGTCAACAGCATGAGCTAAAACTACAAATTATCTTTTGTAAAGGAGTAGAATCACTGGTGGTTTTATACCACTTAATGTTATACCCCACAGTGGAAATAATGTGCATATAACCTTTATCATTATATCTACCTGTTAAATTGCAACAAATTATAATGCAGCACTACAGAATGAAGTAGATAGTTATGGATAAATTATAAAATTTTAACAGAGTTAACAATATTCATACTCTGAAGAGCCAAAAATTCAATTACGTAAAATGGAGAATGCATTATTTAAAGGTTCATTAACTGAGTGGGGCAAGCATGTGTAACTAACCAGCCAGTTATTTTATAGGATCTAATAAGGCTATCCAAATCTCTCCCAGCTGAGGTTTGGTCCCACCTGGTGACAAGTACCCACTCCAGGCTAATTATACATGGAGATGCTTTCAAGTCCTATGATGGAGACTTTTAGAAGACGGGCAGCTTTCCAGGAATTTCCTAGTTAGTGAGTACCTGTTTCTTTAGCCCAATTTGAAGAGATTGGGTTGGGAAAATACTGGAGACACAACTATAAGCCTCAGGAAAAAGAATAATCAGATACAAAGATTAAAAAGCTTTAAGGCGGCCGAGTGTGGTGGCTCACGCCTGTAATCCCAGCACTTTGGGAGGCCAAGGTGGGTGGATCACGAGATCAGGAGATCAAGACCATCTTGGCTAACACGGTGAAACCCTGTCTCTACTAAAAATGCAAAACATTAGCCAGGCGTGGCAGCGGGCGCCTGTAGTCCCAGCTACTTGGGAGGCTGAGGCAGTAGAATGGCGTGAACCTGGGAGGCGGAGCTTGCAGTGAGCTGAGATCGCACCACTGCACTCCAGCCTGGGTGACTGAGCGAGACTCCGTCTCCAAAAAAAAAAAGCTTTAAAAGCTTTAAGGCCTATCAATGGGTAAAACACTCAAACAATAAACTCTAATTTCAAATTTGCCCTACTGCAAAGCTCATGTAAATTCAATCTATTAATAAACAAGAATTCCGGGCCTAGAAGAGACCTACCATAAATTATGCTTAAATTACGAAACTTTAAAATTTTTTAATGCATAATGAAAGCATGACATAGTAAAGACTGTTAGAACAGCTAATGCATATCCTGAAATTAAAATAAAAACCAGGATAGTTACTGATGTTTTCCATGTGGTTTTAAATGAATTCGTCTAAACTGGCTAATCAATAATTCAATTCCAACCATAAGCTCCAAATTTCAACAAAGTAAATAAAACTCTTAATGTTTTTTACTCACTTTAAAAAGAGGCCATTAGCCAGATGCAGTGGCATGCGCCTATTGTCCTGGCTACTTGAGAGGCTGAGGCAGGAGGATCAGTTGAGCCCACAAAATCAAGTCCAGCCTGGACAACATAGTGAAAAGTTCCTATGTCTCCAGGAAAAAAAAAAAAAGAAGAAGAAAGGCCAAGCCAGGCACAGGGGTACATGCCTATAGTCCCAGCTACTAAGGTGGGAGGCCAGGAGTTCGAGACTTCACCGTGCTATAACAGAGCCTGTGAATAGCCATTGCCCTCCAGCCTAGGGAACATAGTGAGACTCTGTTTCCTTTAAAAAAGAAAAGAAAGGGCCCAGACCGGTGGCTCAAGCCTGTAATCCCAGCACTTTGGGAGGCCAAGGCAGATGGATCGCTTGAGCTCAGGAGTTCAAGACCAGCCTGGGCAACATGGCGAAACTCTGTCTCTACAAAACACACAAAAATTACTTGGGCATGGTGGAGCATGCCTGTAATCCCAGGTACTCGAGAGGCTGAGGTGGGAGGATTGCTTGAGCCCAGGAAGTCAAGGGTGCAGTAAAGCCAAGATTGTGGCACTACACTCCAGCCTGGGTGACAGAATGAGACTGTCTCAAAAAAAAAAATGGAAAGAAAGCAAAGGAAAATAGAGAATTGTAGTATCATGAAATAAACAATAGCACCTAATTCAGTTTTGTGTGCTTGCTGTCAAGGTGAACAAGAAACCAGGTCCTGAGATTCAAGGATATTTCCATAGGGAAAAAGTATGCTCTACCAGTTTTAAGAAATTGAACCTTGATGTGTGAAGTCAACAGCTGTAAGTCATCAGCTTCCCCTCATAGCCTGCAAGTATGATACCACATTGCATTTTCTAACATTAAACACCTTATAAACCTTTTGAGATATGGTTCACCAACTTACCTATTCTTTACCACTTCCAAGATCATGGTTGAAACATAAGACCTATGAGGAACTAGATTCTGAAGAAATTTTGAGCCTTGGAGGAGTTGAAGATCCTTAAAGCTCTTTACAACCGAAGTCTTTAAAAGATCAAGCACCTTGGGTATAGTTAATAAAAATAAATGAAAAAAACAAATAATTAAAAGATCAAGTGCCTAATAGAATGAAATAAGAAAATAAAGCAAATATTATAGCTCATGCTATAAATCTTAACCCTATAACTGTTCCTATGAGCTGCCATTCACTATATCCCTATGACAACTATTTTAACTAGATGAAGATGTTACAAAAATTATGACGTTCAGTGGGAACTTTAAAGAGTTGAAGACAAGCCTTCCTTAAGCAAAAAGGGGGAAAAAAAAGGCTAAAAGTCAATATAAATATTACCCACAACCTGGAACACATATAAGAAAAAAAGGGTAAATTTCATCCTTGCAACTAACCTATTCTTGGAAAGCTACAACATAATAAAACTGCTGGTGAATATCCAGCTAAATTGTCCCTTCCTCCAACTTGGGCTGTGTGATATCCTTCCACTCTTATTCCCACCTCATCACCTAGCTTACCATACAATAGGAAATGAAAGAATAAACCAAAAACCTGTAGAAGTCTTCCATCAGTCCCCAGAGAACAGAGGGGACATACATGTCTTATAGCAGGAAGGGGGTAAAATTGTTTAGGAAAGGATACAACAAAAACAGATTTCTGTGTGTGTGTGTTTTGTTTTTTTTTTTTTTTTTTTTTTTTTTTTTTTTTTTTACCAACTACAGAAGGAAACAAAATGGCATTAAAAAAAAATACCTGGTCCTGAAATCTTTGTATTCTTGTTACAGAGAGAAGAAGAGCAATGCTGAAGGGACTTAAGTTATTATTGGAATCTCCTTGCTGTCCTGCCTAGAAAAGAGCAACCAAAAGAAAGTCATTACTTACATTTTCTTTTTTTTTTTTTTTTTAAAGATAGGGTCTCACTCTGTTGCCCAGGCTGGAGTGCAGTGATGCAATCATAAACCACTGCAGCCTTGATTTCCCAGACTCAAGGGATCCTCCTGGCTTAGCCTCCCAAGTAGCTGGGACTACACCATGCCTGGCTAATTTTTTAATTTTTAATTTTTAAATTTTTTGGAGAGATGAAGTCTCACTGTGTTGCCCAAGTGAGTCTCAAACTCCTGGCCTCAAGTGATCCTCCCACCTTGGTCTTCCAAAGTGCTGGGATTACAGGTGTGAACTACCACACCTGTCCCATTACATACATCTTAAAAGTATAACAGCCTATTTAACAATAAGTCCCTTGGCCAGGTGTCATGGCTCACACTTGTAATCCCAGCACTTTGGGAAACTGAGGCAGGTGGATCACTTGAGGTCAGGAGTTCAAGACCAGTCTGGCCAACATAGTGAGACCCCATCTCGTAAAGTACAAAAATTAGCTGGGAGTGGTGGCGCATGTCTGTAATCCCAGCTACTCAGGAGGTTGAGGCAGGAGAATCACTTGAATATGGGAGGCGAAGGATGCAGTGAGCTGAGATTGTGCCACTGCACCCCCCACCAAAAAAAAAAAAAAGTCCCTATGACTCAAAGGACATAAAAAAAAATTTTTAATAGTAAATAAAAAATAAAAATAGGTCCTTGAATGGATCAGAAATCCAAATGTAAGAGCAAAAATTATAATACTTTTAGAAGAAAACATACAGAAAAATTTCAAGACCTTGGATTAGGTAAAGATTTCTTAGATACAATACCAAAAGCATAATCTGTACAAGAAAAAATTGATAAACTGGACCTCACCAAAATTTAAAACTTTTGTACTTCAAAAGATACCATTAAGAAAATAAAAAGACAAGTCACAGACTGAGAAAAAATATTTGCTAATTATATACCCGATAAGGAACTTGTCACCATTCATAACAAAGTTATTGAAAAAATAAAAAAGAACTTGTCAGTAGAATATACAAAGAATTTTAATTAAGAAGACAAACAACACACTCAAAAAATGGGCAAAAGATTTGAATAGACATTTCACCAAAGAAGATTTTAGAACAGTTAATGAGCACATGAAAAAAGATGCTCAATTATCATCAGTCATTAAGAAAATGCAAAGTTAAACCTCAATGAGGTACTGTTTCATACCCATTAGAATGGATATAATAAAAAAGACAGACAACAAATGTTGGCCAAGAGACAGAGAAATAGGAACCCTCACACAGTGATAGTGGGAATGTCAAATGATACTGTTTTGGAAAGCAGGCAGTTTCTTAAAAATATAAACATAAATTTCTCATACAAGCCAGCAGTTCTACTCCTGGGTATATGCACAAAAGAAATAAAACATATGTCCACACAAAGACTTGCATGTGAATGTTAGTGGCAGCATTATTTGTAGTAGCCAAACAGTAGAAAAAATTCAAATATCCACCAGCAGGGAGACTGCTAAATAAAACTCACATATATCCACAAAATGGAATACTATTCAACAATAAAAAGAAATGAGCCTAATATGGTAGCTCACACCTGTAATCCCAGCTAGTTGGGAGGCTAAGGCAGGAGGATCACTTGAGGCCAGGAGTTCACAGCAAGACCTCCATCTCTTAAAAAAATTTTTTTTTGGCCGGGCGCGGTGGCTCAAGCCTGTAATCCCAGCACTTTGGGAGGCCGAGGCGGGCAGATCACGAGGTCAGGAGATCGAGACCATCCTGGCTAACACGGTGAAACCCCGTCTCTACTAGAGGTGGCGGGCGCCTGTAGTCCCAGCTACTCGGGAGGCTGAGGCAGGAGAATGGTGTAAACCCAGGAGGCGGAGCTTGCAGTGAGCTGAGATCTGGCCACTGCACTCCAGCCTGGGTGACAGAGCGAGACTCCGTCTCAAAAAAAAAAAAAAAAAAAAAAAATTTTTTTTTAAATTAGCCAGGTGTGGTGGTGTGTGCCTGTGGTCCTAGCTAGTCAGAAGTCCACAATGGGAGGATCACTTGAGGCCAGGAGTTTGAGGGTGCAATGAGCCATGATCACGGATATTGCACTCCACCCTAGGTGACAGAGTGAGACCATGTCCCTTAAAACAAGCAAAACAGTAAAAAGAAATGAAATACTGACATACACTACAACACAGGTGAACCCTGAAAACATTACACTTCATGAAAGAAGATATACACAAAAGACCACATATCATATAATTTCATTTATACAAAATATCTAGGAAAGGTAAATCTATAGAGACAGAAAGTAGATTAGTGGTTACCTGGGGCTGGGAGTGCTAATGCAGATTAAATGGGCATAAAAGATCTTACAGGGTGATAAAAATGTTCTAAAATTGGATTATAGTGACAGTTACAAACTAGGTAAACTTATGAAAAACATCACTGGATTGCATGCTTAGAATAAAATAATGTTATGCTATGTAAATTGTGCCTCAAAAAGTTTAAAAAATACATTTTCAAGGCCTAGAAAAGATGATACCAATAAAACAAAAAATATATAAAATAAAACATCAATCAAACAGAAAACAAAAACAAAACAACAGAGTGGATCAAAATACATAAAGCTGGTGAAATGGCCAGTAATATAGTTACTACGAACCTAAATTTAAAAAAAGAATGAACAGATACAGAGAAGATAAATTAAAGCCTACTCACAGATTATGGTCTTTAAGTATTCTTTCCTACAAAAGGGACCCAGGGCTTTTTAGAGACATGGTTGGCATCAGGATGGGGCAAAGAAAGTACTATAGTGAGCCTTGGGCATATCATGCCACAGCTCAAAGACTAATGGGGTCACATCAAAAGAACACATAAGCTGACCTGAAGGATCCAACTGGCTAAATTTGGGTAATTTTGTGCTCAAAACAAATAACGACAGTAATGAATAATGAGTACATTGAATTTAAAAATGTTCATGAGTGCATAATGATATTCATGAATAAACAATAGGGAAAGGAGAGGCTCTTTTTACAGAAGAATGCCAGCTAATAATGTAGAAAGAAAGACGCAATTAAAATTTTCTAATTAAAATCAGAATCCCTTGGGAACAGATTGTGAGGACAAAAAGAAAAAAATAATAAAATATAAAATTCAAATTCCTGGTATAATTACTGATTTAGGCCAAGAATCATCAATAGACAGGAAAACGAAAACCATTGTGTGAAATGTTGTTGGGAAAAGGATTTTCAATACTATCTCGAACTATGATCCTATAGATTCCTTTCTAATTACAAAGGGATACATATATACTTATAAATGAAGAAAATCGATGGTCATTTTCTTAAAAGCAAATGATTTAGCATCACAAATAGTAAGGTAGTTAATACTATGTTCCTCCTGATGTAATGCATAGAACAGTGGTTGGCTAACTACAAAAAGCCTGTTGGCCAAATCCAACACACTACCTGTTTTTGTGCAACCCATGAGCTAAGACTGGTTTTTATGGTTTTAAATGGTTGGTGCGGGGGGGAAATCAAAGGAAGGCCAGTGCAGTGGTTCACGCCTGTAGTCTCAGCACTTTGGGAGGACAAGGCAGGCAGATCACTTGAGGCCAGGAGTTGAAGACTAGCCTGGCCAACATGGCGAAACCCCACCTCTACTAAAAATACGAAAATTAGCCAGGCGCGGTGGCATGCGCTTGTAGTCCTAGCTACTTGGGAGGGTGAGGCATGAGAATCACTTGAACCTGGGAGGTGGAGGTTGCAGTGAGCCAAGATTGGGCCATGGCACTTCAGCTTGGGTGAGAGTGAGACTCTGTCCAAATAAAAAACAAAAACGAAGAATAATATCCCACAATATAAAAATGGAATAAAATTCAAATTTCAGTGTCCATAAATAATGGGAAAACAGCCACACTCATTAGTACATTTTGTCTGTGGCTGCCTTCTTGCTGCAATGGTAAAGCTGAGTAGTTGTGACAGAGCCTGCATGGCCTGCAAAGTGCAAAATATTAGTATCTGGCCCTTGCAAGAAAATGTACACAACATCACTTACGAAGTATTCAAGTCAAAAATGTCTAACTTGAACCCAATCATGAGGAAACAATCAGATAAATCCAAAAATGTGGGACATTACACAAGTGGGCTGATGCTTCAAAAAAATCAGTCTAAAACTAGAAAGACCAACCAAATGCAATGCATGAAGCCTGATGAGAGCCTGGAGCGGAGGAAAAAAAAAAACACAGCTGTAAAAGACATTTTAGAGACAACTGTGAAAATGTGAATAGGGAATATAAATTAAATAATATTATGGAATTATTGTTAATTTTCTTAGATGTGATGATGGTATTGTGATAATATGTCCCTGTTCTTAGCAAGCTGAAATATTAAGGCATTGAGGTGTTAGGGTTTGGGTTTCTGCATCTTACTTTTAAATGTTCAGAAAAAGAATATGTATGAGAGAAAAAGTGAGGTAAATGTGGCAAAGCGTCTAATAATTGGTGAATCTAGGTGAAGGGAACATAGGTGTTCTTCACGCTATGTAGTGTTTTAACTTTTCTAAGTTAGAATTTTCAAACTAAAAAGTTGGAGGAATAAATATATCTGTACACTACTTTTCTTTAATATAGCTCAAAACACTTGAGTTTTATTTTACTACTTTACAAATACGTCATGATGAATGACTTAGCATCACACAACTCCATGATCTACTACTAGATGCAACATCCTAATTCATAAATGAGAAAGCAGAGGCCATAGGTGAAGGTCACATAAGATAGTGACACATAATCTACTTAGATTGAGTTTCCTGCTGAATAGTTCTCAGCTTTTTTTCTACTTTTTTGCATTAGAACATTTGAGGCTTTTTTAATAGACCTTTCTGGCTTGCTTAAGGATGTGGTATACAGCTAAAGTGAGGACTTTAAAAAAAAGGGAGTGTGGTAACATGTATTGTCCACTTTTAAAGTAAAAAAAAAAAAAAAAAAAAAAAAAAAAAAAAAAAAGAGATCCTCCACACCCAGAGTCATTTTACAGTATTTATTTCCTGTCATTAACTGGCATAAAAATGGCTTAAGTTCAAACACTTTCATTCAAAAGAGACCCAGATCACCTTACAAGTTTGGTGCTACCTTTAAGTGTTTCAGGAGTTCTCTGCCTAGTTCATAGTCCAATTTGATGGCAAACACAATGTGTAGAATAATGGTGCCTTCCACATGACGAAGTTCACCTGATGGCACAGTAACAACATCCAACAGCCTAAAAGATTCAACAGAAAGGTATGAGCTATAAGGTGCGGTGCCTCATGCCTGTAATCCCAGCACTTTGGGAGGCCGAGGCAGGCAGATCACTTGATCCCAGGAGTTCAAGACCAGCCTCTACTAAAAGTTTAAAAAAATCAGCCCCATGTGGTGGCACACCTGTAGTCCCAACTACTTGGGAGGCTGAGGTGGGAGGATTGTTTCAGCCCAGAAGGTGGAGGTTGCAGTGAGCCAAGATTGTGCCACTGCACTCCAGCCAAGGCAACAACAAAAAAAAGGTATGAGCTATGGTTTTTGAGTGAGAGACAAGGGCAGGTGCTACGATGAACAAGTAGACCAACTCAATCTAAACTCATACAATCACTGAAGGCAGGTGTTTACTAGAAATTCTACTGCCCAGTTCTCTACTCCTGTCTGTCTGTTCTATGTACCCATCCATCCATCCATCCATCCGAGACAGGGTCTTGCTCTGTCACTCAGGCTGGTGTGCAATGGCATGATCATAGCTCACTGTAGCCTCAACCTCCCAGGCTCAAACAGTCTTCCTACCTCAGCCTCCTGAGTAGCTGGGACTGCAGGCATGGGCCACTTTGCCCAACTAATATTTCTATTTTTTGGTAGAGATGGAGTTTCACTATATTGCCCAGCTGGTCTCGAACTCCTGGGCTCAAGTGATTCTCATGCCTCAGCCTCACAAAATGTTGGGATCACAGGCATGATTTACTGTGCCCAGACTCCACTTCTTTTTACAAGATTTCATAAAATAAATGTCTATAGTCATAATTTCTTCTTTTTTATCTCACAATCTCTTCCCAGTACAATCCAATTCAATCAGGTTTCTATCCTCTTTCTACCCTCACCCCCGCAATAACATTAGATTACTTTTTCAGGGGTCACAAATGACCTCCAAGTTGCCAAAAACAATAAAGTCCCATCTTAATTAACATCTCAGATCTGACACAATTAACTACTTCTTTCTTGAAAAATTTTCTTCTCTTAGCTTCCAGGGCATCATCACTGGCCTCTCCTCAAACAAACATTTTTTTTTTTTTTTAGACAAGGATTCATTCCCATTGCCCAGGCTGGAATGCAAAGGTGCAATCTCAGCTCACTGCAACCTCCGCATCCTAAGCTCAAGTGATTCTCCTGCTTCAACCTCCCAAGTAGTTGGTACTACAGGCATGCATCACTGCACCTGGCTATTTTTGTACTTTTTGTAGAGATAGGGTTTTACCATGTCATCCAGGCTGGTCTTGAACTCCTGAGCTCAAGCAATCTGCCTGCCTCAGCCTCCCAAAGTGCTTGACCTTGAAATGGTGGAATGCCTCTGAACTCAGTCTTACATTTCTTTTAATTCATGCTTTCCCTTGATAATCCCATTCAGTCTCTTGGCTTTAGTCCCTTCCAGTCTTATCCCAAGTTCTGCCCTCTCCCTACTACTCCAAAGTACCTGGTTAATATCTCCTTATGGGACCCTAATATATTAGTGTGGTCAAAAGTGAGCTAATTCAAAAAAAAAAAAAAAATGAGCTAATTATTTTCTCCAAAATCTGATTCTTTGTCAGCTTATTCTAATTTAGTATCTAAGACCACCTTCTCTGCTGGGTGTGGCAGCTTGCTCCTGTAATTCCAGCACTTTGGGAGGCTGAGGCAGGAGATTGCCTGAGGCTAGGAGTTCAAGACCAGCCTGGGCAACATAGTGAAACCCTGTCTCTAGAAAAAATTTTTAAAATTAGCCAGGTTTGGGCCGGGTGCAGTGGCTCATGCCTGTAATCCCAGCAGTTTGGGAGGCCAAGGCAGGCGGATCACTTGAGGTCAGGAGTTCGAGACCAGCCTGGCCAATATAGTGAAAGCCTGTCTACTAAAAATACAAAAAGTAGCCAGGCATGGTGGTGCGCACCTGTAATCCCAGCTAGTAGGGAGGCTGAGGCAGGAGGATCACTTGAACCCGGGAGGCAGAGTTTGCAGTGACCTGAGATCATGCCACTGCACTCCAGCCTGGGCAACACAGTGAGACTTCATCTCAAAAAAAAAAAAAAAAAATTTAGCCATAGTGGGGGGTGCCTGAAATCCCAGACACTTGGGAGGGTGAGGCAGGAGAATCACTTAAACTTGGAAAGCAGAGGTTGCAGGGAGTCGAGATTACGCCACTGTACTCCAGCCTGGGTGACAGAGACTCCATTTCAAAAAAAAAAAGAAAAAAATAGAAAAAAATTAACCAGGCTTGGTGTCACATGCCTATACTCCCAGCTATTGGGAAGCTGAGGCTGGAGGGTCACTTGAGCCCAGGAATTAGAGACTACAGTGAGCTATGATGGTGCTACTGTACTCCAACCTGGACAACAGAATAAGACACTCTTAAAAAAAGAAAAGAAAAAATGAAAAAATAAACCACCTCTAATTAATTGCTCAAGCCAAACTAACTAAATTCTCTGTCTCTCGATTTCCATATCCATAAAATAGAGGTAAAATAGGGTTGTGAGGTTTAAAGTGCTTGGAATAGCACCTGGCACAGAATGAACACTCTACAAATGTTTGCTTAAAAAACAAAAATCTGGCTGGGCACGGGGGCTCACGCCTGTAGTCCCAGCACTGTGGGAGGCCGAGGTGGGTGGATCACCCGAGGTCAGGAGTTCAAGACCAGCCTGGCCAATTTGGTGAAACCCCATCTCTACTAAAAATACAAAAAATTAGCTGGGCGTGGTGGCGCGTGCCTGCAATCTCAGCTACTCAGGAGGTTGAGGGAGGAGAATCGCTTGAACCCAAGAGGCGGAGGTTGCAGTGAGCCGAGATTGTGACACTGCACTCCAGTCTGGACAACAGAGCGACACTCAACATCAAAAAAAAAAAAAGAAAGAAAGAAAAAACAAAAATCCTTGGCCAGGCACAAAGGCTCATGTCTGTAATGCCAGCACTCTGAGAGACTGAGGAGGGTGAATCACTTGAGGCCAGGAGTTTGAGACCACCCTGGCCAACATGGCAAACCCTGTCTCTACTAAAAATACAAAAATTAGCTGGGCATAGTGGTGCGTACGTGTAGTACCAGATACTTAGGAGGCTGAGGCAGGAGAATCGCTTAAACCTGGGAGGTGGAGGATGCAGTGAATTGAGATATGCCACTGCACTCCAGCATGGGCGACACAGCGATACTCTGTATCAAAAACAAACAAACAAAAACACCCAAAATCCTCTTTCTCAGACATGTCACACTGTTCTGCCTTTGTACTATTCCCCTACCTGAGAATGTTCTCTGATCTATATATTATGGATCTTATCATTCAGGCTTCAGTTAAAATAGTACATCTGAGAGAGGTTTTCCCTGACCCAGTCTAAAGTAGCTATACTGTCAGTGTTAGATCAACCATTTGAATTATCTGCATAGCACTTTTCCCTTTAATATTTTTCTTGTTATTTATTTTCTGTCCTCTTCTCACTAAAACTGAAGCTCTGCAAGAGCAGGGACGTTGTCTGACTGGTTCAACACGGTAGCCCCAAGACTAAACAGTTCCTGGCAGAGAGTTGACACTTAATAAATAGGTTTTAAACTTGCAGCTTATAGGACAATTATTGCTATTTTCCTGGAAAGGTGAAAATGAAAGAGCTGAAGAGATCATGTTATTCTCTTTATTACTGAGCAGCCAAGAGAAGATTAGAAAAGTTTCGTGCTGAGGTGAAGTTAGGCGGTAAAAGAGAAGAAAATGAAGTAGCTAAAATACACAATGAGAAGATGAATTTGTAAAAATGATCTTTATTTCTACACTATATTACTCACTCATCACCACTCCGTTCCTCATTGTGCTGCTTATCTAGTGCACTGAAGAAGGCTATGATTCCTTCCAAAACACTCTTTCTGCTTCCCTGAAAACAGTACAAAATTTATAAGGTCTCCCAATTAACAGCAAAATAACCAAGTTGAATTCAAAGTACTTTTCAGCTTAAAGAATTCTCCAGTACAAATTTAAATAAATAATCTATGACTTAGACTCAAACTAAGAATGTATAGAACACTTTCATGTTGAAACAAGGTTTGAAATACCTCTTACTGTAAGAATTTATGGGGCCTATAGTCTACCCTTTCTAAGATCTTTATCCCTTTTACCACCACAAAGAAAATGTAGCAATAGAAGAGATAATGCATGTTTTCCTTGGATGAGAAGCATGATCTTTTTACCAGGCCAAACCAAACCACTAAACATGAAATGAAAGCATCTATGCTCGGCTATGTTTGTTCTGCTATGTAAACCAAGGGTATGAATAAGTTGAATGGTCATAACTGGTCATACCACGAGAACTAAGGAGAAACAATTTTCCATTTGTACCTTGGAGGAGAGAACCAGAAGCTGATAGACCAAAGGTGGTATTTCTTGAAGATTCATCTTGGAGAACATGCTCAATGCTTTTTCCACCACAAATTCCACCTCTTCTGTAGTCAGAGGGACATCCCTGTGGATGAAAGATTCTAAAGGCTACAGACAGAGTCCAACTGCCTTGTTTTCAGAAATTCAATTCAGGGCTTTACAGTGGTTAAAATTCCATTAAACATATTTTAAGAAATAAAACTTGGGGGCAGAGAATTAAAGAGATAATAGATTATTATAACTGTCCCTTTTGATTTTTCTCTAATGAACCTTTAAGGGAACTGATAACCTTACCTAAGCAAAGTCATCTTAGAAAAAAAATCATAAAGTTACATTTTAAATAAGTAAATAAAGCCAAAAAGGAGGCAGGAGTGGGGAGGAAATCTGTAACAGAAAACATAACTACTAATATTCTTACAGTCAGGAGAGCGTGATGTTTACGTTTGCTATGGTTTAATTTCTAGCAAGTAAGTTCACAAAGTAGGATATACAAAGAAAAGGGAAAGATGATGCTTACTTGAACATGGAGGTGAGCTGGATTACGTATTGCTGATCCCACCTGGTAGAAGAAAATGACAAAGAAAGTTTATTTCATTCCAACTTATTTAGATATAACTTTGTAAAATTAATGAGGACAAAAAAAGGGCCAATTCAAGTTTGATTTTGCAATACTGAGAAACAAGATCAAATAAATACCATTTAAAACAATAAAATAGCGGTTGTTAACCTATCTGACTTGCAAAATCAAAATTCTGATGATACCCAATGTTGGTGAAATTGTGGAAAACACACACTCTTCACATACTGTTTCAGGGAATGCATGACAAGTTGGCGGTATTTATCAACTTTAAAAATGCACGTAATCACAGACCTACCCGATTTACTATTTGAAATATGTGCCATGTACATGCTTACAAAAGGTCATCTAGATATATAAAAATGTTCAGGCCAGGTGCAATGGCTCATGCCTATTATCCCCACACTTTGGGAGGCCAAGGATCACTTGAGGCCAGGAGTTCAAGACCAGTCTGGGCAATAAAGCAAGATTCCCATCTCTATTTAAAATTTAAAAAGACGTTCATTGAAACACTCTTTGTAATAGCACAAAAACTGGAAACAACCAAATAATCCGACAATTGTAGATTAGCCAAAGAATAGATTACTGCAAACCATTAAAAAGAATGATGGAGAGTTGTATATGCTGACATGGACAGCTGTATTAAATAAAAAATGAAAGGTATGTTACGACATGTATTGAATAAACTCTTGTGTAATTAAAAACAAATAAATTGATACATATATGCTTAAAATTATTTATGTAAGGGATCTTATGTAAGCAACCATAAAAACAATTATCTGGTTTAGATAATCTTGGGTATTCCCTTCTTGTTCTTTTTAACAAACCTACATGCAGTCACAGTGTTATATAACACAGTAAACTCTTTATTTTGTTAATTATATGGTAAGAATTTTTCATATTTGATGTATACATTTCACTTTTAATAGGTATAAATGTCATGGAGTGGCTCTACCTTAACTTACATAGTTTACATGTTCTATTACTGTATGCTTATATTGGTCACAAATTTCTTGTTGAACATGTTCATATGTGAGGATTTTCTTGTATGTTGGAGTCATTCTTTAATGTAGATTCCCAGAAATACAATTACTGGTTAAAGGATACATTATTTGTATATTCTAGTCCCTCAAAAAAAAAAAAAGAAAGAAAAGATGCAGCAGCAGGGTGACTTCCCCAGCCTTCACGACCTTGAGACTCCAATAATGCTTAGATTGGAGCATTAAACACACTAAATTCACATTTAATTATGTGTATCTTAACACAATAAATTGCTGTACTAAGATACACAGTCAAGCAAATAAAACTATACGAACAGTCTTAGAGGACAGAATATAGTAAATCATCTCTTTCTCACTAATTCATTGCAGACTAAATAGTTTTATAGTGTTATATTCAAAACTACAAAAAAGAAGGACTTAAAACCTTCACAGATATAAATTCCTGAAATAAAGTGGTTTTTTTTTTTTTTTGGCCACTTGTATTCCTAAGAAAGTTCTACATATTAATAAGACTCACCTGCCAGAACACAGGATGTTAATCAACTGCTTCTTACACTCTTCCCCACTCAGTACACCTAGAAATGCAAAATATACTGAGCAATAAATTTGAGCATGTGAATAGAGAAAAAGCCAATAAAGTTGGAAGAAAATTACCTTTTCCATAAGCCAGATTTTCCTTTTTGGTAGCCAGGGCAGTGAGAATGATAGGTAGTAACTCCAAAGATTGTCCATTCACTAGGCTGCCTTCTCTGACAGCACTAATAAACTCATTGGCTAATTCAACCAATAATGGTCCTGGAAAATGGTGAGCCTAAAAGTTCACAGGATAAAGGAAATCTCAAGCAGAAATCCCATGTTTGATATATCTTTCTAAGAAATAAAGTCTTTTGCTGAAATAAATTAATTGTCTGAGATCCAGAATTGGTCCCATAAGGGATTTATGGAATCATTCTGCTCTGTCTGGTACATAGTTATAATTGCGCAGGGCTTCAAAAGTTAGAATCCTCTGTCGGTTCCCTAATGCTTTCATATATGCCAACTCTTCAAAGAGATATATGTCCATGGTACCAGAAATGTAATATGAACACATCTAAGTGGATTATAACCCATTCATCTGCCTTTTTTTGAAATGGGGTCTCACTCTGCTGCCCAGGCTGGACTGCAGTGGCACAATCTCGGCTCACTGCAACCTCCACCTCCCTGGCTCAGGCGATCTTCTTGCCCCAGCCTCCCAAGTAGCTGTGACCACTGACATGCACCACCAGCCTGGTTAATTTTTTTTTCTTTTGTATTTTTGGTAGAGATGGGGTTTCACCATGTTGCTCAGGCTGGTCTCAAACTCCTGAGCTCAAGCGATACTCCCACCTCAGCCTCCCAAACGGCTGGGATTACAGGTGTGAGTCACTATGCCCAGCCTGCCTGCTTCTTTGTTTTTTAACAACAGGTCTTATTCATAAATAAGAACTATGCTAGGTTAGGCACTTAAGTTTTCCTTCCCTCAACAAACTACAAACCCCCCAAAATCTACCCTCAAATAAAAGTTTTTGTTTGCCATCTTACCTCCAGCATCAGTAATCCTATGATCTCAGACGCTATTTCTTTCTGCAAATCCCCTGATTCCACCAACTGGATACAATAAGTGTATATCTTATGTCTCCTAAGTGCTCCAGCTTCCTCACAGCAGGGGGAACCTTATTGTTTTAAACAGGGGGTACAGAAACAAAGGAAGAAATCTTACAAGATTGATAGATAAATAGGAAAAACGAACAGGTTTGTAGTCAAATACAAAAAATAGAATTATCAAACAACTGATTACTATAGTGCTTAGAAAAGCAATGGTTAAGGGCTTTGAAAAAGTGCTTAATTTAGCCAAAGTAAAGGGACGAAAATGTCATCTTTTCTTCATCCACCTATTTTATTAATTTATTTGAATAATTATGTAGTACAGGATGAAGTAACTTTCTAATAGGTCTTACAGCTTTTGAGAAGTCCAGTAACCCAAATTTAATAAGTTAATAAATCTATTTTCTTCAAACTTCTGCAATAGTTCTTTAAAATCACAACAGTTAGCAAGCTTTTTTAATGTGCTCTATACAAATACTTGTGAACTTTTAATATGTTCAGTGCTTTCATTTTGATAACTGTATCTCCATTTGATATTTTCACTTGTATAACTCATTTGCAGTCTGAAAATTTTTTTTAGTGCCAGTCCCTGAACATATCATTAAAAGTTAATTTTCTTTGCATTTTAAAATATCTGGATCATGACGAAAAAGTGATGAAAATAAATAAAAACTGAAAAAAAAAAGAGATAATAACAAGTGTTGATGAGGATGTGAAAAAATGGGCATCTTAATCCAGCCACAGTGGAAAACAGTTTGGCAGTTTCTCAAACACTTAAACATAAGAGTTTCCATATGATCTGGCAATTCCACTCCTAGATATATATCCAAGAGGAAGGAAAACATATGTCCACACAAAAATTTATACATAAATGTTCATAGTAGTAGTATTTATAATAGCCAGAAAATAGATACAACTTAAGTCTTCATCAACTCATGAATGGAAAAATGTTGTATATCCACATAATGGAATATTATTCAGCAGTAAAAATAAACTACTGATACATATTACAACATAGAAGAACCTTTGTAACATTAAAAATGAAAGAAGTCAGTCACAAAGGACTATATGTAGAATGATTCTACTAAATGAAATGTCCAGAATAGACAAATCTGTAGAGACAAAAAGTAGATTCGTGGTTTCTTAGGACTGGAATGGACTAGGGGTTTGGAGAGGTGACATCTAAGAGATGCAAACCTTCTTTCAGGGGTAATGAAATTGTTTTAAAATCAATTGTGGTAATGGATACACAACTGTGAATATACTAAAAGCCACAGAATTGCTCTTCCATTTAGTAGTGCACATAGGCAGCTGCTATTGATCTTTCATTATTTCCTTTTCTCTGATATTTCTATAAAATATTTAGCAAGTTTCCATACAGGTTGACTCAACCAATCTTGAAAGTTCTTTCGGCCGAGCACGGTGGCTCACGCCTGTAATCCCAGCACTTTGGGAGGCCGAGGCAGGCGGATCATGAGGTCAGGAGATCGAGACCATCCTGGCTAACATGGTGAAACCCCGTCTCTACTAAAATACAAAAAAAATGAGCCGGGCTT